AAAAAAAAAAAAAAAAAAAAAAAAAAAAAAAAAAAGACCAACCTGCTAGATCAGCCTAAAATCCATCCTAGTATACTAATTTGTTTCTCACTGTTGTCAGACAGATTTTTAAGATCTCTTCAGACGCATGACGATACTTAATGGACCTAATTGTACAGATTACTAATAAGAAATACAGTCTTAGGTCCTTTTTTCCTTCAGAGGATTAGAAATGCCATGATGATAAATTTATTTACTTATGAATTATTTTATTCACTTTACTGTTACCCTCAAGGCCATTAAAAAATGGAAGATGAAGAAACAAGAAGAAAAAGGTACAATCTTAGTCCAGAAAGAAAATCCTGAGGAAGTGCTCACTGATATTCACTGTCAGCGTGAAGCTCAGAAGCAGAAAACTGAAGAGGAAAGGAAAAAAAGATTAGCAGAGCTTGAAGCATGGAAGAAAGATAAAGCACTTGCAACTGCAGCAAAACAGGAAGTTCAGTTAAAAGAGGAAGAAGAGAAGGAGAAAAAAAAGCAGAGAGAACGTCAGCGGCAGCTTCAAACGAAGTTATTGTTGGAAGATTATAGTAGAGAGAAAAAGGAACAGGAAGAGCTGCTGAGACTTGAAAAAGAAAAGAGAGAGGAAGCTGACAGGGAAGAGAGGAAAAGAACTGCAGCAGAAGAAATTGTTAAATTCCAGGAACGAGTGAGTAGTCTTGTTTATCTCTTCCATATTTTCTCCAGGTTTCTTTGTATTTTCATATGAAAAGGACAATTCTGTATCACTATATGGAGCTTCCTGGTGATGGACATTTAAATTCAGTTGATTTGTCTCATCTGGCTACAATTGTTTCCAGTTGAAACAGCAAATCCTTAGAATTATTTTCTAAAATAATGATTCATATAGGCTTAAAATAACCACTCGATTGGGGTAATCAAGAACTGAATTGATGAGATAGTAATTGTGAAAAACAAATGCATGTAGCAGTTGTCTCTCCAGGATTTCCTTAAAGCAAAAGAAGGATGTTCTACATGCTGTTATCAAAGAATATACTATATTAAGTTTGAAGACGTCAGAATGGACTGCAGTTTATTTATCCATAAGAGTGGTCTTTGCCAATTCCCAAATTTCTTATTCATTGACCATGTTTGACTTCGTACTTTTAGACAGAGATTAGCTATAGTCTGTTCACTAATATCACATCCCAGTATTAGCATTAGCAAATTGGATGGACTATAATGAGGTTATTACCATGTTAATATAGTTCTAATATAGCCGCTTTTATCAAGCACTTGTTTTAAATTTTGACTTGAATAAAAATCCAATTTAAAAATTTAAAAATCCATTAACCAATATTTGATCTTTATATCCCCCTGCCTGCAGGAGAGTTGCCGAAGCAGATTTCTGCAGACCTCAGGCATCCTTGTGTTCTATGAGAATGAAGGGCACTTATAGTGACCACAGTTGAGATTGACAACTTAGTTGTTAAGGGAAGTGGCTGCTGATTAAAACTTTGATTGTCCTTATAATTGTATTTCAGCTTTCCTTTGCTTTATAGACCTGCAAAGGTCATAAATGCAAGGATTATCTGTATGGAAGAGAGAGAAAACTAGTCAAGAGCTAAGTAGCATTCAAGTCTTCATTGGTGAATGTAAAATATAACAGTGCTACATATTCTGGCCATTTGGGCAAGATTATTGCTTAAGATTATTCATAGTAAATAATTAATTGACACTGGCTACTTAACTATTGTAACAAGAGTAACAAAAAACTTTCTTATTTTATTTTGTTTATTCAATTTATATGGTGACCTATCTCAAACAAAAGCCTCTGGGGGGAGGGGGAGAGAGAGTGAGATTTATAGCAATATTTCATTTATTTTATTCAGGATCTGCATAAACTTGAGCTGAAGTTTCTAGAAAGGCAGGCAAAGGAAGATGAAAAGATTGAAAAAGAAAAAAGATTGTCTAAGCTGAGAAAGAAGGTAAGAATTTAATATACGTTATATATCTCAGTCCCATGTACATTTCTCAGAAGTGTTCCTCTGACTTCAAAGAACTCTGGCATTTAAAAATGATCACATATGATATTAGTTTCTTATTGAAATGTCGTTATATAACATCCTGAAACTGGAATTTAGTCACCCATATGGAAGCAAGAGGAGAAGTTGTAAATAAGTTAGAATGAAAGAATATGCAAAAGAAATTGAGTTGAGAGTAACTGAAGTAGGTGTGCAAAGCGCATAATATGTCATTTTAAAAATAAAATAGGATCTTATCTATCACCTTCTCTTCTTTAGAAATAAAATTAAAATTAAATCTGTATAGATGATGAATCAACAGTAATTCCTAATGGATTTATTTGGTTTTTATTCTAAATGTTTTAGGATTGTTGACACAGACTTTAGTTTAAAGCCTGGTATCTAAATGGTAAGCCCCATGGAATTCAGTAAAACTTTGTGCAAAATTGTTTTCAATTGAACTTTAAATATTAAACAATATGTGAAATGTATTATTTTTATTACATTTTAATGATTAGTAATAGCAATGGAAACATAGCATTTAATTATGATCCATAGGCTGATAATTCTAAAATATTGGAGTAATAATCTTGGTGGACTGAAAGTTAATTTTTGCATTTCTAGTGGTCTTGGTTCCATCAGGTTTGGTACCACTCCGTAATTACTGTCTGGCCCCATTTGACTTCTTTTCTGTTAGTAGTCGCCACTCTTTTGATTTGTATCTTTGTTCTAAGTATCCAGCAAGAATCAGATGCATGATAAATTACTGGTCTTTAATCCAAACTAATATGAAAATACAGTGCTATGCCAGTTTACTTCTTACTCTTTATTATTTAATTCATTTGTACTTGCAATTGCCTCAAATGACTTTTTCTGTATTTTCACTATTAACAGGTTCACATTAATGTAACTCGGGATCCATGCAGGTTATTCAGACCTACAAAAGTTTGGGAAGAACGAACAAAAGAGATTGGACCTATAGGTACAGGGCCAGTGTTGTATATTCCTCATAGGTGAGAAAATTAAAATATTTTATATAATTAATGTACATCTTAAATTACCTTAAATTTAAATATTTATGTGATTAATGAACTTTTATATGATTAATATATTTGCAAGATACTAATCTATTTTTATATTGATAGGGCTGTCCCAAGCTGGCGACAGGGATTATAACTGGACATCTGCAAATAATTTATTTGAAGATAATACAACATTATTATTAGTTTGTATTATATGTGAGAAATATTGTAAATGTACATATGTTATGTTAAATAAAAATCAAGTATATTGTTTCATTGTAAAATACTTGCAAAAGTTTTTTTTTGTTTGAATTTTTTTCTCTAGAACCCGGGTTTAGCAAGTGACCTCTTTCTGTAAAGTTCAAAAAAAGTGAATGTATTGTTTTCTATGTACTTTCACTGTTTTTTTCAACCCAGAAATAAACAGATAAAATTAACAAGTGTTTTTTTCTTTGCTTTACTTAGCAGATTGATTATATAATGTATCTCAGATTAATTTAAGAGGATAAGCAGATAATATCTTAATGTTCCTGAAATGGGACAGAAAATAATAAGCTCTTGTTATAGAGAAATGAGTTGTTTCTTAATCTCCATCCTTCAAAACTAATTTTTTTTACAAACAAATAAAACAGATTTAAAAACCCTAGAGCAGAGGTCTCCAACCTTTTGGGCACCAGACCCGGTTACGTGGAGAGAGGTTTTTCCATGGAGTGGAGGGGGCGTGGTTTTATGTGCTGCCTGCATCCCGTGGATGGGGCTTTGCTTGTTTGCGCAGCCTGGTTGCTGGCATGCTGCGGACCGGGGATTGGGGATCCCTGCCCTAGAGAGAGAGACAGAGTATTATTTTCTTTCTGCATACTCTTCCAAACAATTGAAAATGTTTCAAAGTAAGCTTGTCCAAGATTAAATTGTGCAACTTAAAATGTATTTTAAAAGTTTTACAAAGAACATAAAAACTAAGACAAACTAATAAAAAGAAAAAGCAGAAAAGAGAAATAGAAAAAAAGTCAAACATGCCAAAAGAGAAAGAAATAGAAACTTCTGATTTCTTTTGCAGCAAATATACTGTCAATACAATTACAAAATTATTTCTTTCTCTATGATGACAAAAGAAAGCTCACTCTATTATTCAGTTGTTTTTCTAATTATCAAAACCATATATCGTAAGTACATTGTTTTCATTACATCCAAAAAAATCTAATAAGGGGTTTCCAGTCACCCATATATGTAGATATTGTTTTCTCTATAAGCAAAGAAAAAAATAGTCTTCTATGGAAGCTTCATCACCTTCATCAGCCATTTGTCCATTGTGGGTATTATCAAACTTTGTCACTTTGGAGCACATTGTAATCTCACCCTAGTTAGCATTCATGAAAACAAAAGTTCCGTAACTTTGTTTTAGTTGTTTATCATTAGTTCCAAAAGAAAGGTTGGGTTTGGGATCTTGCACTTCCCTCTTAAGTGCAATGCTGACGCGATAAAGAATGAATATTGTGGCATGGAAACTCCCTGTAAAAAAATTCTCCAGAGACAAAATTTTGTGACATAATTCCTTGTTTTTCTGTCATTGTAATGCTACTGAGCAAGATGTTGATTTTAATTGCACAAGCTCAGATATATTCTAGGATTTGATGGTGATTTTGAAGATCTCCTGTGACTGACTCTCATGGTAAAGAAAAGACAGACACAAGGCTGCCTCGGATGAGAGTCGAGAGAGAAGAAATCCAAAGAGCAAAAGTGGAGTCTCTCCCTCCCAGGCTCTCCTTTATTAGCATACATCAAAGCAAATTGCAGGCAGAAGGCTTTTTCAGGGGGGTGAGGGTTACAAACAAGGGAGTTTAGGAGGTTAGAGACAGCCAAGGTTTTACAAAATGTATCTTATCTATTACATGGCTTATACAACTAACAGTTCAAGGAAAAGTTGCCATTGTGGTTCACATTGGAAGGTCTTATCAGGAAGTGATAATATAGTAGCTTGCATAGACAGCTCTTTTGACTTGTCTCTTTGTTCTCTGTTCTTACGTGTGTTCAGCTGCTAATTGCAACCTAACACGTAAGCACTATTAAGCTTGCTGAAGGTTACAAAATGGAGTGACTTATGTTATATTCCAACAATCTCCTGTAAAAATCTAGAGGATCTGCATAAAATATAGAACAGATAGGTATAGCACAATACCTGTTTCAATAATCCATGTAAGGCTTTGTTGTATATGGTCTTTGAAATATTTTAATAATTATTTTACCAGTGTTGTATCAATGAGAAATACATACTTTCGGAAGATTCTTGGACAGAAACTACATTCCTTACATTTCTGCACATTGAAGCTTCCAAATCATATCTGTAATTGTTCCGCATCAAGCCATGTAAACAGATATAATCTCTAATTTTGCAAGAGTGTTATATCTGATCCCCCCAAAATTGGGGAAAAAAACTGTACAATCAGGAAAAAGTTACCCATTTGCTACCCAATGCCGNGCCCGGCTCCATCTCGGCCCGGGCAGCCGCGGCCCTTCGCCGCCCGGCCCCACCTTGGCCCGGGCAGCCACGCCCCTTCCCCATCCTCCTGCTGCCGCTGCCGCCAAGCTCTCCGCCCCCCGGCCCCACCTTTGTTTTTTTCCTGAAATTTCCCTTAAAATGAAGGTGCGTGTTATACGCCTGTGTGTGTTATACGCCAATAAATACGGTAATATCTTAATGTTCCTGAAATGGAACAGAAAATAATAAGCTCTTGTTATAGAGAAATGAGTTGTTTCTTAATCTTCATCCTTCAAAACTAAAAAAAATTACAAACAAATAAAACATTTAAAAACCCTAGAGCAAGAGGTTCCCAACCTTTTGGGCACCAGACCCGGTTACGTGGAGAGAGGTTTTTCCATGGAGTGGAGGGGGCGTGGTTTTATGTGCTGCCTGCATCCCGTGGATGGGGCTTTGCTTGTTTGCGCAGCCTGGTTGCTGGCATACTGCGGACCGGGGATTGGGGATCCCTGCCCTAGAGAGAGAGAGACAGAGTATTATTTTCTTTCTGCATATTCTTCCAAACAACTGAAAATGTTTCAAAGTAAGCTTGTCCAAGATTAAATTGTGCAACTTAAAATGTATTTTAAAAGTTTTACAAAGAACATAAAAACTAAGACAAACTAATAAAAAGAAAAAGCAGAAAAGAGAAATAGAAAAAAAGTCAAACGTGCCAAAAGAGAAAGAAATAGAAACTTCTGATTTCTTTTGCAACAAATATACTGTCAATACAATTACAAAATTACCGTATTTCTTTCTCTATGATGACAAAAGAAAGCTCACTCTATTTATTCAGTTGTTTTTCTAATTATCAAAACCATATATCGTAAGTACATTGTTTTCATTACATCCAAAAAATCTAATAAGGGGTTTCCAGTCACCCATATATGTAGATATTGTTTTCTCTATAAGCAAAGAAAAAAATAGTCTTCTATGGAAGCTTCATCACCTTCATCAGCCATTTGTCCATTGTGGGTATTATCAAACTTTGTCACTTTGGAGCACATTGTAATCTCACCCTAGTTAGCATTCATGAAAACAAAAGTTCCGTAACTTTTAGTTGTTTATCCTTAGTTCCAAAAGAAAGGTTGGGTTTGGGATCTTGCACTTCCCTCTTAAGTGCAATCAATGCTGACGCGATAAAGAATGAATATTGTGGCATGGAAACTCCCTGTAAAAAAATTCTCCAGAGATAAAATTTTGTGACATAATTCCTTGTTTTTCTGTCATTGTAATGCTACTGAGCAAGATGTTGATTTTAATTGCACAAGCTCAGATATATTCTAGGATTTGATGGTGATTTTGAAGATCTCCTGTGACTGACTCTCATGGTAAAGAAAAGACAGACACAAGGCTGCCTCGGATGAGAGTCGAGAGAGAAGAAATCCAAAGAGCAAAAGTGGAGTCTCTCCCTCCCAGGCTCTCCTTTATTAGCATACATCAAAGCAAATTGCAGGCAGAAGGCTTTTTCAGGGGGGTGAGGGTTACAAACAAGGGAGTTTAGGAGGTTAGAGACAGCCAAGGTTTTACAGAATGTATCTTATCTATTACATGGCTTATACAACTAACAGTTCAAGGAAAAGTTGCCATTGTGGTTCACATTGGAAGGTCTTATCAGGAAGTGATAATATAGTAGCTTGCATAGACAGCTCTTTTGACTTGTCTCTTTGTTCTCTGTTCTTACGTGTGTTCAGCTGCTAATTGCAACCTAACACGTAAGCACTATTAAGCTTGCTGAAGGTTACAAAATGGAGTGACTTATGTTATATTCCAACAATCTCCTGTAAAAATCTAGAGGATCTGCATAAAATATAGAACAGATAGGTATAGCACAATACCTGTTTCAATAATCCATGTAAGGCTTTGTTGTATATGGTCTTTGAAATATTTTAATAATTATTTTATCAGTGTTGTATCAATGAGAAATACATAATTTCAGAAGATTCTTGGACAGAAACTACATTCCTTACATTTCTGCACATTGAAGCTTCCAAATCATATCTGTAATTGTTCCGCATCAAGCCATGTAAACAGATATAATCTCTAATTTTGCAAGAGTGTTATATCTGATCCCCCCAAAATTGGGGAAAAAAACTGTACAATCAGGAAAAAGTTACCCATTTGCTACCCAATGCCGCGGGCCTGAACGATCGGAGCAATTTTAAAACCTGCTTTTGGTTGGCGCCAAAGCTGCTTAACCCCACCTCTTTAGGCGCAAGAGGCGGAATGAAGCTCGGTCAGCTGCCGGTTGTTACCGCCGCGGCCGCTAAAAAAAAAAAAAAAAGGCCCAACGTTGGGGCTGCGTCACATGACTGTGCCGCCGGTGACGGAGTTGCGTGTGAGAGTAGGAAGCGGAAAGCCAACATGGCGAGCCCGGTGCTGGTGGAAGACGAGGGAGGTTTTGGGGACGGGGAAAGGTTGGATTTCCTCAAGGAACGCCACGTGCGGTTCTTCCAACGCAGCCTTCAGATTTTGCCTGAACGCTACTCGTCCCTGGAGACCAGCAGGTACCCCGGGGAAGCGGGAAGGCGCTCGAGGTTCTCCGGGTGGGAAGTAAACGAGTTCACCCCCCCAGAAGCAGACCTTGCGCGAAGTGCTTGGGACAGCTGAGCGGTGGGCGGGGTCCTCTCCGAAGCGGGAATAACCCGCCAGGATTTGTTCCCTTCTGGCCACTCAGGGGTGTCGGGGCGGCGGGCCGGAGTGGCGCTCTGGGCAGCTTCCTGGAGTCAATATTTGTGAAATGGCGTTAGTCTAATTCTTAATTAAAGTTGACTGCGCCAAAAGTCCCGCATCCTAATCCTTGATGGTTGTCGGTGGCAGCTTGAAATTGAAAACAGATGTCTGCTCAAGAGATAGCCCCGTTTTTTCACACACTTCGAATGATAGCTTTAAATATTTATTGGGTGTAGTGATCTCACAACGACAATCTCACTGGAACTAAAATAAAATTAGATCCAGTTTCCCCTGATGTGTTTTAGGTCAAATTTCGGAAAACAGATCAAGACATATGATCTTGGTTTCACTTATTCGTTTCAAAACAGTTAAAATACTTTCTGTTTCATTTCATTAAGCTGTTAACCTTTGCAGCTTAACACTTGATCAGAATCCAGATGTTTTATTGTACAGTTATCAAAACTTTTGAATGCTTGTTCCCCTGTCTGAGATGGATAGAGGTTTGAAAGCAGACAGTAACTCTTACCTGATTTAGTTGGTAGGGTAACCCACTTTGCCAAAGCCTGACTGCCTGAGTTGAAAGGTTCTCAAAAGAATTCGACACACATGGCTGAAAATTTGAATTAAAAAGAGAAAGCATTTGCTTAAAAGATAAATAAGTCTATAGAATTTGAAATGGAAAATGTAGAAAATGTTCTTTGTGGATTTATTCTGTTCTTGGACAAATCTGGTTGAGTAAACTGGTGAGTACTACAAACATTGCAGATAAAGTATTTTTTTGAACCTTACAAATGCACCTCATTGAACTCAGTCAAACTTAGTTCTGAGTGAACACTTGCAAGATTGCCCTCAAGATGTGTGGCAAATTCATATTTCTAGGCTTGGAGTTGAGATCAAGATACTTGGGTATTATGTGGACTTAATGTCCAAGCCTTTTAGAAAAATAAAATATGGAGCTTCTAAAAAAGAAGCAGCCAGAGAATATGTCCTTTTTCATGAAATTTTCTTTATCAGCAGTTTCATCATTTTGAAACTGATTTTCCTCAGTTCACTATCTTGAAATAAAATTTATTTAAACTGCAGATAATATGTCTACATTTGTGGAGAAAGAGCTAAAGGTCTTCATTAATGTAAAAGTTTGTCTCATTAGATGCAAGGGATTTAACTCTAGTCCTTTGTACACTATCCTACTATTAAGCTAGGTATTGCAGTTTCTGTAAATACATCAAAGGAGTTTTTATTTTCTGTGCTTCACACATTGGATGGGGTTAATTCTGTCCTTGGGACTTGTACTGCATTATTTACTCTGAATGTACTCTCCGAATGTACTCTCTGCTTTGATCTATTAAAGGTGAGTATACAAGGAATACAATTAGTAAGTTTAAATGGTAAAATTTGAACACACATTGCAATTAAAAGTGGGTGTAGCAGGTATGGATGTGCTTGGTGGTGTTTTGTTTATTGCATTGCGAAACTTTGATAGATGTTAAGCTGTATCTTTCTTTCAAAAACATTCATTGAAAGATTCTAAGATAAAATGTTGCATGCTCCAAAGTGAATAAGAAGCTTGTTGTTGTAATGTGCATTTACTGCATCTCAGGTTTTTCAGAATAATTATGGTGTAAGAATTCAGTAGCATTCTACAGTTCTTCCTAGAACAGTGATGGCGAACCTTTTAGAGACTGAGTGCCCAAACTGCAACTCAAAACCCACTTATGCATCATCGGGTGCCGGGTGGGCGTGGCCCATTGGGTGGGCGTGGCCCATTAGGTGGGCGTGGCTGCGGTGGTAACGGCAGACTGGATGGGACTAAAAAGTTCAATCAATCAATTCCAACTTTGCAAGATCTTTTTTTTTTCCCCAGAAGTTGAAATTGAACTGATTGATTGAACCTTTTTTTTTTTTTGCACATGGCGGCGGAGGCCTAAAGCGAAAAGGTTTTATAAAACCCAGCTGAAGGCCTAGGACTGGGGCGACGATGCGGGTGCCCACAGAGAGGGCTCTGAGTGCCGCCTCTGGCACCCGTGCCATAGGTTCGCCACCACTGTCCTAGAATTTGAAATAGAAGATGTAAGCGAGAACTACCACTATTTGATTTAAGAAGTTTCTGACAGGTGCTATGTATACTGTTGTGTACACTCTGAAACAATTTTTCCTTTGAATCTGTATAGTCCTACTTCATCCTAAATTTGGGGAATTAAGTAAGCAATGAAATGCATGAGTTTATTTTGCAAATAATATAAATATACTGTACATTTATTTTTTAAAATTATTTTCAGTTTCTGATTTAAGCAAAATTCTAATTCAGTCAATAGTTTTAACATTTGCTCAAATTTAAGGTGTTTTTTTTTGGGTGGACTGACTGATTTCCAGCACTATATAAAGTTGTTTGGCTTCTATATCAATGTGAAAATTTTTCTTTTGTTCCATTATGTAAATATTTAAGTATTTATAGTGTGCCTTATGATTTAATACAATCAGTACACAATCAATGTTGCTATTTACTTTTATGTCTCAGGTGCAGGAGTCTTCACACTTGGCCCTTTTCTGACTTGTGGACTTCAACTCCCAGAATTCCTCAGCCAGTTTGAAGACCCCTGCTCAAGTGCATATAACATGTATTCTTACAGATTTCTTCAGTTTCAATATATGAAACTCTGACTTAGAAAAATACTGCTCAATAATTTATTTCATCACCAGCCAAATATATAAATCTTTTCTAGAACATGTTTTGGTTATTGCTCTTCTTACTCATTCTCTGAAATGTTACATAGCAATAATACATAGAAGTCTCCAGAACGTCTGAATGTAGAGACCCATGTATCTGCCTCTGTTTTGATAGCTTTTAATTATAAGGTAAATAAAATGTTTTAGGGAAAAATAATTGGGAACAGAGTATCGTATTTCTGGTATTAACTCAGATATACCACAGAAGTGTGTGATCTGCATAAGAGTGAGAAAGGAATAAGAACAAGCCTGCACATTTTGTAGCAGGGTGGATAATAATCAATGATTTTTTAATTTTTTTTAAAAAAAATGGATTTTTTAAAATCAGAGTTTTTTTATTTTTATCAAATTTATTTTAATAAAATACTTTTGGAGTAAAAATCTATCTAAATATAGTTTTCTATTTAAGATACATTAATAACTTAGTTTATTCAGCATGAAATGGAGCTTAGTTATGTAGCATGAGGCTGTATATTCTGCAATATTTACATTTTTGGTAAATTCAGTGAATCCAAGCTCTGCGAGCTGAGATAATATGCACTGCATTGATGCATTCACATAATTTCACAGTAACCATGAGATAAATCATAGAATATAGTTCAGAAATATTCCTTTATCCCATTGTTTTGCAAATCTATGTACATTACAAACTCTATGATTGTTTGAAGAGAAATGCATCTGTACCAGGCTCTAAGTGTTTTAATTAAATAAAAGAATTTATTGTGTGATTAAACTATTAACCTAAAATCGGTTCTGATATCGTTGTTTTACAAATCTGACAGTTTATTATTCTAAATAGAAAACCTTCATTTTGTTTGCAAATAATAATATTAAAGATTCTAACTACCAGCAAGAATGAGTCCTTACATTTAAAAAGCACCTGTCATTTCAGATCCATCATGGCAGCACTTATTAGCCGGCATCCACTCACCTGCTGCCCGCCACGTCCCTCACCTTGTTGTGTCACTGCCGCATCACCAGCCATCCCATTAAAGCGAGTGGGACTGTTGGTGAGTCAACAGCGGGTCAGAGGAGGAGCCGCTGCGGGACAGAGATGACAGTTGCTCTTTAAAAATTATGATTTAAATCAAGTTGATTTAAATCAGGCCTTTTTACTAGTGATTTAAATCGTGATTTAAATCAACTTGATTTAAATCAAATCCACCCTGGTTTGTAGAAAGGAAAGGGCCACATTTATAAATAAAAATAATTGCTCATCACAAAGGAATAGTTGATGCACCGATCAAGTGTTCGTTTATCAGCTAGTGAGATGGCAGGACCAGTGCAACTGACAGGATCAGTGACACTTGGAGGTGCTCAGCACTGTGTTTTTTGGGGCAGAGGTGAATTTATTAATTTCTTTAAAAAATGTCAGCAGGCTGCACAAGGCTGCTTGATGGGGTATGTTATGTAGGCCTGAGTAAGAGGATCAGTTAAATTTGATTTAATGTTAAGGGAAAGGGAAAATTCAGTGAAATGGAAATAATAGGAACGTAGGGAAAAATTGACTGTAATGCTGGAGTCAGGGTGAGAAATGAGGGTAATGTGACTGTTCATCAAAGTATAATGAACATATTTGATGGTTGAATAACTACTTGCTTGGAGTACTGTATGTTTCATTCAATTTATGTTCATGTTATAATATTCATGTTGTTTCAGTTAATTCTGAAGTTGTCCTACATGCAAATAACTATCATCTGAGTTGGAAGTTAATATTGCTATTTCCCCTCCCCCCCTTCTCAGGTTGACAATTGCTTTTTTTGCACTTTCTGGCTTGGATATGTTGGATTCCTTAGATGTTGTGAACAAAGAGGATATAATAGAATGGATTTATTCTCTGCAAGTCCTTCCCACAGAAGATAGTGAGTGAGTTTTTAGCTTTTCTTTTATTAACATTTCATTACATATGTGTAGTGTCTTTTAAAAACAGAGACCATTCTCTTGTTCATCTGAATATTAATCAATTGTGGAAACTGTTTTATTTGAACTATACTAAGAGCTTGTCAGTCCTAAAATATCCTTGTTCTTACCTAAGTCAGTGAACAGTGCAATGAAGCTTGGCAAAAGCTGTACATTGCTGATAATAACTTTTACCAAAGTAGGTAAGAAATGAAAGTAGAATGAGATTCCAATGAGTATCTGCTGATAGCTTTTAAAAACTTGTTTCTGCATGCTGTTATATTAAAAAAACATTTATTTTCTGACAAACTTTTGTCAGTTTTTTTTCCTCTTAATTATTTTGCTGGAATTTCTTTAAGAATTATTAGAATAGTATGAATAACAATGTATTGTAACCAGTGTACAGATTGATAACTCCCCCAATCTGCCATTATTTTAATAAATGTAAGGCTAATTTTTCACTGCTGTAAGAAAAAAGAATGAAAGAAGTCACATTACTTGTTAGAAAGTTAACTAACAGGAATACATTTTGCTTGTTGGATATCAGTGGCCTACATTCCACTTGCTGTCTGCTCCACCAAGTCTGAGGTAGATTTTCTGATACAGAGCAATGTAGACAAAAGGTAGCTGGTTTTCATTTTTAATTAAATGCTGCCCTTCAAAACCAATCTTTCCCTGTAATAAGATGTGTTTATTAACAAGACACTAAGATTGGTTGTCAGGCAAAGTCACTGACAATGCATTCTAGAGTTGGCCTATTATCTCTGAAAAACCTGCTCTCTTGTAGTTTTGCCATATCTTAGCATGGCACTTTAATTTGGGCCTGCAAAGTTCATCTTATGAATTAAGTAGAGGGATACTGGAAGAGGTTTTCCTTCAGATATTGTACCTACTTCATGTTCGGGTGGTAGCATGTTAAAGTATGTTTGAAGTAAAAATATTATAGATAGATAGTAGAAATCAGCTCAAATGTAAAATCTAAATAGGATCATCATTCTTCTGTGGAACCACAGCAAGATTACATAAAAAGTATTATAGCAAGTTTACAAAGGCACTTTTAATCTCTATACTAGAAGTCCAAAATATGGGATGAAAACATTGGATTTATTTTAAATACTGAACACAGAGAGTAAAACGTACCAGTAATCAACTTTATTTTCCAATATAAAATTTTATTGTTTTCATCATAAAAAAAAAGAAATACATCACAGATATTACACAATGTTATATCCCATCCCCCCACCCCCCGGACTTCCCAAACCAAACCTAGGCTAATATTCAAATACAAGTAAACAAATATTAATATCTCTAACTCCAAACTCTAAACTTAAACAATCCATCTCCTCCGTATTAA